CAAAGTTCATACGCGATTTACTAGCTCTGTTCCTGATGGATTACAGGCCCTGTGCATTCTCCATGCACTGTAAGCTACAGGATCTGTCCTGAGATGAGAAGCTGTGTGTGGATGCTGTACACCAGCCTCTTAGAGAAATCAGAATTCATTAGCTATATGGGGTTGTTACTTGAAGACGGGAGCTGGACAGGCTGGCAAGAAAGCCTTACTTCTCCCATCAGAAAGAGCTGATTGTTGCTTTTCATTCTTCATTTTATTCTCACAGGAGGATAAAATCTGTTTTCCCTGAGAACCATAACATTATTACAGTAATATGCTGAAGGGGCCTCTAATATGCAGACTGTCATCTAAATTCATTGGTTCCTGAAGTGCCTGATTTTAATTAAATGTGGTGTCACAAATTGCTGGCCATTCTTTGATGATGATGATGGCAGCTCCAAAATGATTAATGCCTTTAAGACACATCAGTGTGCTGTTGACACACTTGCCTTCAAATACTATTGAATTATTAGTATTAGTGCTTCAAGAAAGGTGTTTTTTCTGAGTTGTTTGTTTAGTAGTGACACGTGGTATTATATTCCTCTGCATTTTTGTAGCTAATCTCCCTTCTGGCCAATAGTGCTTTTTTGTGAAATTTCTGACCTAGATGATAGGTAGATTTTGTATCTATGCCATCAAGAATAGAAGTAGCATCATGTAGTAGTGAAGACACCAAGCACAAAACCCTAGTTTTATCACTTACTAGTAATGTGGGCTTAGGCAAGAATGTTGACTGCTCTGTGCCTCAGTTTACTTGTCTATAAATTGAGGTTAATTTTAATAGTATCAACCCTACACATTGTTGTGAGGATTAAATGACTTTCTATACATAAAGCGTTTAGAACTATGCTTGATACTGTATGTATTCCATCATTATTATTCTGCAAATATGTAAAATCAATAATTAGAAAAGGGATAAGATTTAATCCTTGTCATTCTTTTTTTTTTTTAATTTTTTATTGGATTATAGGTTTTGGGGTACATGAGCAGAGCATGCAAGACAGTTGCGTAGGTACACACATGGCAGTGTGCTTTGCTTTTCTTCTCCCCTTCACCCACATTTGGCATTTCTCCCCAGGCTATCCCTCCCCACCTCCCCCTCCCACTGGCCCTCCCATTTTCCCCCCAATAGACCCCAGTGTTTAGTACTCCCCTTTCTGTGTCCATGTGTTCTCATTGATTTGCTTTTTAACCAACTGGGCTCAGACTAGGTACATTTACCAACATTCCCCTTTGCCATAGTGATCTCATTCATTGGGAGACATCTCCTTCATTGGAGTTTTTCCATATATTTGCAATCAGGTATGGAGGAAGGCAGTAGGACTTGTTCATATTTGGAATCATTTGTTCCCAGTCACATAAATCTTGTTTTGAGAATACAATTGATACCTCAATATATATTTTTTCATCTTCCTGATTGCCTTAGATATGCTTAAAAATTAGTTTACTTTTTTAACTTTGAAGTTTCATAGTTATTCTCTTTGCCATATGTCTATCAGAATTTTAAAAAGGAACTAACTTTCATGTCTTCTATGAACATTGGTAGGAACTTTGTTGAAACAAAGGAAGCCAATAAATGTCCAGAAACATACCTTTTCAGTTTCCGTGGCATTCTTGGAATCACTATATTTTAATATTAGTATAACCATTTTAGTTATGCAAGTGACCAATCTTCATTTGCAAGAGAATGAATTGAACAAAATAGAAATTAAATTAGCTTAACAGGAAGTTATATGTGTGTATTCATATTTACATATGTATAATTAAGTTCAACTCACTTCAATATCAGAATTCTATGTAACTATTAATAAACAATTGATCTAATGAGAAATATCATATATATGTGTCTCCAAGGTGTTTGGCATCATGTAAGGATTTTATAAAGGTTAACTCATTTATTCTTTAAAGTAAGTGTGACCTCGTATTCATGGCAAATGTCAAATTAATGGACTAGGCATTTATTTTACTAAAATAACTTTCTGAAATGGTATCTTCCTTTTGGAATTCAGAGTAGAAGACACACACACACACACACATGCACGTGCTCACACACACACACAGCTGTGGTTCTAAAAATAAAATTGTATGAGTCTTTCTTTGACTTGCCCCTCTAGGAATAAGGTACCCAGGGTATGAACTCCAATGTACGTGACAGTCTGCTTATGTAAGCAGCAGTCGGAATTGAAAGCCATTTACATTTCCACAGCTGCTTTGAGTCTGGCATAAGCAGTACTAAAAATTGCTTAACCAGGTCAGTAGTAATCTACAACTAGGCAATGCCAAGGGAATAGACCTATTGTTCTAATTAAGTAGATGTTGGCCTGTTTAAGTAATCCCTCTTCCTCATATAATCACACTCCAGACCTACATTTAATATCCCTAACTCTCCCTACCCTTGTAGGAAGCAGGTTGCCTAAGCAGAACTACATTAACTCTTTCATCTTAATAGAGATTAAAAAGAAATTTCCCCTCAATTTTTTCCCAAAATATTAATTACAAGAAAGTCTTTTAACAAAATTCCCAAAACTAAACTGATTCATCATGAGGAAAAATTGGATGACTCCAATTCCAGCAAAACAGAACAAAGTAGATAGTCCATAGAGAATATTTTGACAACATACATGGTAAAAGTAACTAATCTCTATTTGTGGTCTTATAATTTTTTTTTTTTTTTTTTCTGAGATGGAGTCTTGCTCTGTCATCAGGCTGGAGTGCAGTGGCATGATCTCGGCTCACTGCAACCTCCTCCTCCTGGGTTCAAGAGATTGTCCTGCCTCAGCCTCCTGAGTAGCTGGGACTAAAGGCGTACGCCACCATACCCAGATAGTTTTTTGTATTTTAGTAGAGATGGGGTTTCACAATATTGGCCAGGATAGTCTCAATCTCCTGACTTCATGATCCACCCACCATGGCCTCCTAAAGTACTGGGAATTATAGGTGTGATCCAGCACACCCATCCTGAAATTCTTTCAGTCTCAGTCCAGATGTCTCCAAACTTCAAACCAGAAGCTAATTGTGTTCCTTTCATCACAATCACCAGTTACAAGTGTTTAAACTTTGTGTGGGTCCCATACCTAAATATATTAACAAAAGCTTCACCCAGGTGATACAGGAGACTGTGTTTGAGTAATACATCTTCTCCCCGGATTCAAACTCTTTTGCTCAATTGGATATAAATCTTTTTAGGCATCTGGAATTAATCTCCTTGATAGCAAAGGCAAAGGAATACTGATATAATAAGTTGTTTCCAAAGTACTGTGATTTTAATGATTAAAAATTAAATGGTATTGAATATTTTCCATATTCCTTAAGGCAAATCTTGTCTATTCTCACAAAAGGTAGACTCTATTTTGTAGAGGGCAACATTCATAATCCCAAGAGATCTATTTAAAACCCGTGTGACAAACTAATGAGACTCAGGATGATGGATTTTGACAATTAAGACATTTGGACCCGATGGCATACACTGTGGAATATGGAGCTTGTTCTTTCCTTGTGAGTTCCAAATATATGTGACAGGAAAACATTACTACAAAGATGGGTGGCCATCTTTTTTCCTCACGATTGTCACAAAGCTGTGTGTGTCTACTGATTGTGGGGCAAAGAACACAATTAACTTCTAATCTGAGGTTTGAAGAGATCTGACTCAGGACCTAAACAATTTCAGAAAAAGACCTTGAATAGAGATTGGGTACATTTAGGGAACAGGACGACAAAGCATAGAGAACGGAAGGAGTGGTCAGTCTGACCATTAACTCCTCAAAGGCCTGTTGATATCCTAACTCGCATCAGGGCTTAGTTCATGACTCCCACGCCGTTACCTACAACTGCTAGCTGTCGCCTTTTCCCTATGAGCAATGTCCTATGGGAGATGCACAAGCATTTCAAACTTGGCAATATGTGCTCCTCAAGTTCAGGGACTGACTGTTTCAGCATGTGGGGTTTTAGTAACGCTCTGCTCAACAACTGAGAAAATAGGAAACTCAGATTTTCCTCTGCTAGTTAAAAAAATCTTGATACTAACAAAATAAAGATTAGATAAATGGCCCCTTCAATCACTATCTGGGGGAAATGTTATCTTGGATTTCACTGTGTTCTGGGTGGTACTATTAACCATTGGAATAATAGAATCAAACTTCCTCTTTCTGGTTTACAGTCACCATTCCTCTTATCCTTAGCATTTGTGTTTTTTATCCCCTCAGAAGTGGAATATTGATAGCAATTTTCATTGGTATGTAAATTCCTACCATGCCAAACCAATGAACCTCTCCAGAACACAATCTGTTGCCTTTCATGTGGTAGATATTTAGTAATTTTTTAAAATGAAGAACAGCTGAATAATAGAGAATCTGAAGGATTTTTTAAAGGTGCCTAGGGCAGTTTAAGCTCTTTAAAGGATGGTGAAAAATGTGACATATTCTTTCCCCAAAAGTGTAAGGGATTTTACACAACTGTCACTTGGTCTGAAGAAAAAGGTCAGATGAATCACAGATATATTTCAACACCCTCAGGGTATTGCAATAGACTACTTTCCATCTTTCTTAAGTGAAGGTACTCCATGATATAACTAACACACCCTGGTATGTATCTCTCTCCTTGGTTTTGGTGGATTGATGAAGGGACAGAAGGTTTACATTATGAGGATTTAATGGGATGTTTTCATTTAAAAGACCTTTTGTTTTTTTAAAATGGCAAGGGCTTAAAATAAGGTATAAGCCCTAGTTAATAAAGGAAACATCCTACTTTTCTCAAAGTTACAAACACAAAAGGAAAAAAAAGTTAAAATTTGAGCCAAACTTCTGTGACACATTACTAAAATACAACAAGGGACATATCAGTCTTTTTATTCGGAAAAAGGCAAAATGAGCTACATTTTGATTCTACTAGAAAATGAATGAATATTCTTTCAGATTTCTTGGTATAGCTTTGGCTTATGCTATTTATATTATTTTATTTTACAGGGAGTGTCTCATTTGGAGAATACAAAACCAAAAAAGAGAAAGTAAGTCAAATTTACTTTGTAAACTTCCCTTAGTTGTGTAATGTTGAGTGTAAATTTTTTTTTTTTTTTTGAGATGGAGTTGGCTCTGTCATGCAGGCTGGAGTGCAGTGGCATGATCTCAACTCACTGCAACCTCCGCCTCCTGGGTTCAAGTGATTATCCTGCCTCAGCCTCCTGAATAGCTGGGATTACAGGCGAGTGCCACCACGCCCGGTTAATTTTTGTATTTTTAGGAGAGACAGGGTTTCACCATGTTGGTCAGGCTGGTCTTGAACTTCTGACCTCAGGATCTGCCCACTTTGGCCTCCCAAAGTGCTGAGATTACAGGTGTGAGCTAGTGTGCCTGACTTGAATGTGAAGTTTTAGTGAACTTCCTGCCAGAGTACTTTTTTCTTTTTCAGCTGTTATGTACAAATCTAGGTGTGGATTACTTTGCTACTATTTTTCTGTTTATGCTGATACATGGGAAAGCTATGTTGTGACATTCCAGAAGACAGGGATGTGAAAATTATATTTTCAGAAGAAACATGTGTCTAAACCAAGCCTAGATTAAAGTGGGAGCCTACATAAAAACTTATTTCTATCAGTGACCTATAAATCTTCTGAAGTATTTTTCTAAGCCACATAAAAATGTATTTGCAAACAGTTTCAGGTTATTTAGGTCAGGCCTGGCTTTACATTCAGCACATCCAGCTGCCAGAGGACATGACATACACATGTTGCATAAGGTAATGGGATTTTAACTGATAAGCAGGAAATACACACAGGCAGGAAGCTGGTTTATGGGGAAACTTTCAGAGTGGTTGCCGTGGATACAGAAGAATGGCTTCCTTGCACCCTGGATTGGTCTGGGGCCAAATTGTGAATTACCTGATGTTCTCTCTGGGTGTCCTTTTTCTCAAAAGCCCTTACTCTATTCCCACCCTAGCACTCTGCTTTTTCCTATTCTTTCCTTTTTAAAAAAAAATTTTTGCTCAAAGCTTTCTCTCAGTTAAAAATATAAAACACATTCATAGTAAGTAGGTACTGGGTGATTAACAGCTCAGGGACTGGCAGGCTGGTGTAGTTGTATTTTAGCTACAATTACCTGTTTAAACTATGACACTGGCATTTTAAGCATGAGATGGAGTAAAGAAGGGCCTTTCTCAGTCTTATCGCCATGTATGTGAGGCTGTTTATTCTGACCATAAATAAGAAGTTCACTAATTCCAAGGCACATACTTACACAAAACTGTAGCTGTTGGCCTGTGATTGATGCCTCCACAGAATATAGGCCACCAAAACATAGAAGAGGAAGGAGGATTGAATTAAAGGGAAAGTGTCTGATGCTGACCAATTTACGATGTTTCCAACATAAACCAGATCAGTTAAGATGCTCATCAGATTCCAAGCAACTGAAATAAAATCGAAAACTTCTTTGAGTTCCTTAATTTTTTTTTTTTTTTTTTGCCTACCACTCTCCTGATGGAAAGTGGTCTCATGTTGTTATATACATACCTCACTCTAAAATATTATAAACAGCTTTATTTGTTTGGAACTCTTGCTATATGCCAAGAGATGTCCTAAGCATTTTGCATTAAGAAATTAAAAACAAACAAAAGGTTAAGAAAAAGGAAACCTTATTTATGCATGTTTTTGCTTATAATTTTGAGCTCAAAAGAAAGGGGGGTAACCTTGGTTTTAATTTAGTGACTATCGAGAATATGTATATGTGCAGCCAAAGTGAGCACATGACTATCAAGAATATGATATGTCCCAGTTCCATCCTCTGTTTCTGTTTCAAAACATTTTATTATGAAAATTTTCAGTCATACATAGGGGAAGAGTTAATAATAAACTCATATCACCAAACTTAAACAAGAATCAACCTAGAGTCAATTTTGTTTTATTTCTACCCGTTCTACTCCCCCAACTTCATCCCCACTGTTTTTCTTAATCAAGCAGATGCCAGACACATAATATCATGCTTAAGTGTATATTGTTAGAAAATAAGAACTTTTTTTTATTGCATTTTAGGTTTTGGGGTACATGTGAAGAACATGCAAGATTGTTGCATAGGTACACATGTGGCAGTATGATTTGCTCCCTTCTTCCCCTTCACCTGTATCTGGCATTTCTCCCCATGCTACCTCTCCCCAACTCCCCACCCCCCATCCCTCCCCTATATCCCCCCAACAGACCCCAGTGTATAGTGCTCCCCTCCCTGTGTCCATGTGTTCTCACTGTTCAACACCGCCTATGAGTGAGAACATGCAGTGTTGAACGGCATAATCACAATACCTCTACTGCACTAAAACAAAATAAGACAAATGACATTATATTGCCAAATATACAGTCAATATTAATATATTTCTGACAGGCTCAAATGCTTTTTCAGTGTTGCTTTACTTAAATCAGTATCCAAAAAGCTCAGTTGGATCCAGTTCACGTCTCTTAATTTATGTCTTTTCATGTATTTGTTGAAGACACTGGAATCTGTGTCCTGAAGAATTTCCCAGATTTTTGAATTTTGCTGATTGAATCCTTCTGTTTTTTAAAGTATGTTCTTCTCTACTCTATGTTTCCTGTAAACTTTTAGTTAAATCTCAAAATGTGATAAGATTCAAACGTATATAAAGTGTGAAAAGTTTTAAATATATACATGTATATTTAAAAGTTGGTCTTCAGTGACTGCATACTTTGTTTTGTTATATTGTAAGCTATATATTAGTCTTGTTGTTATTCATCTACTTCACTTTACAATATTATAAATGGCTTTACTTGTTTGGAATGCTTGCTATATGCCAAGAGATGTCCCAAGCATTTTGCATTAGAAAAATTAAAAAGAAACAAAATAATTAAGGAAAAGGAAACCTCATCATGCATGTTTTTGCTTATGATTATGAGCTTAAAAAAAGGGCAACCTTGGTTTTAATTTAATGGCAATAAAGAATATCAATAGTAGAAAACACTTAAGCTATGACAATTTAATTATGAGATGTGTATTCACCCACACAGATGAATTGATTAGCATGGTCATATTTTTATGACAGTGATATTGCTTAGTGGGTTTGGATGGTGTCAAGTTGATCCATTTGGCATAAAGTTGCCCATCAGCCTTTCAATTAAGCTTTATCAATAATTGGTGATTATTTTCCAGATCTGTTATTTTATTAGATATTTCACAATAGTTATATTCAATTTACCTCATTCTTTCTCTATTTATTAACATAATTATTTGGAAAAGCACTTTCCCCCTGGTAACTATTTGGTTATCCTGAGATACTTTAATGTAAAATGACTTACCTATTTTTTCAGGTTTTATGAATATTAGTTTCTTTATATTGAATAGAAATTTACAGACCCAAATTATACTTGTATTTACTGTAATTTGCCACCCAGAGTTAGGAAAATTCAAGACTGTAGGTAAACCTTACTTAGAGGTAGAATTTATTTCTGCTCCCAAAGGTGTTGCATACATTCTAATTTCTGTTTGATTAAAATGTTATTTATTAAATCTAGACTTAAATATTTGTTTCTTTTTTTCTTCCAGGTTATTCCGGAGATTTATGTCTGAAAATAAAATATTTGGTTAGTGATTTCTAAGATTTCAAGTATAAACGATGTATTCTGTCTCCCCAGAAGTTCTTTCTCCTGCTCCTGCCTAAAAGCAACAAAACCGATTGATGAAAGTGAAATTGAGTTGTTTTTGAATTATATGGAAGAAATTTTTTTAAAGGGCTGCATTCTAATTTTAAATGCCTATGACAAAGAAATCATTGATTTGTTTGCAATAATTTCCTTTTGCATTTAAAGAAAATAATCTTCTTTGGTAGTTCATTGGTTGATCACCTTCCAGCTCTCCATGTTTAGCTTGGCTGCTCCGTGGTCAAGGTGACTTGTTAGAGATTATTTTTTTCTGGGGAAAGGGAGAAACGGAGTTTTGCTTTTGTTGCCTAGGCTGGAGTGCAGTGACGCAATATCGGCTCACCCCAACCTCTGCCTTCCGGGTCAAGTGATTCTCCTGCCTCAGCCTCCAGAGTAGCTGGGATTACAGGCATGCAACACCATGCCCAGCTAATTTTATATTTTTAGTAGAGATGGTGCTTCTCCATGTTGGTGAGGCTGGTCTCAAACTCCGGACCTCAGGTGATCCAACGGCCTCAGCCTTCCAAAGTCCTGGGATTACAGTCATGAGCCACCACACCCAGCCCTAGAGGTCTTTTTAGATATGTGAATCTAGGAGTCAATAAAAAATTAGTAGAAAGTGATTCTATTATAAAAGTCTCTTCAATATTTCACACACCAAATCTCCTCTTTAGTTCTGTGATAGCAAACATAGTAATAATACATGCAATCAGTTTGATTTGTATTTTAATTCAAAAGAAAAAATCTATTTCTCTTCATTTCTTTTAGAAAATTATCTCTTGACTTTACAGCATATAGGGAGTCAGTAATTATAAAACATTTACAATGGTGAAACATCTAGATCATCCAGTCAGGTTGTTTTTTTTAATGTAGTGTGCTAAACGTGTGGGTACCCTTTTCCTTTTTTCCAGCAGAGATTAGGAGTGGGTGCTCATACCCATTTCCTTCTTTTTTAAAAAACAATTTTTCTGGTAGGATCTGAAAAGCGCATTCTGACCAAGGTGATACCCCTCAATGGGTATGACTTTGAAGGATATCTGCATTTCAATCAGGTTTCAATTCGCCCAGCAGTAGCATCTATAGGTGCAGGGTCCTATCAGTGTCCTGCAGTCACTCCTTGTTAAATATTTTGAATATTAGCCCCGATTTGAATAATGCATAGTCTTAAATAAAAGGAAGTAAGGAAAAATTTTATTTTCCATCTAGATCCATTCTTAGTCTATTCTGCATGTACATACAATACAACAAATATTTCTACCCTAACACAATTCTTGATGATAAACTGCCTTTTCTATAAACAAAACAAATGAGCAAATAGTGACTTTAAAAACAATACAGCATGCTGAGTTTGTCTTCATGCGACATATTGGTTGCCTTACTTAACATTTGTTTTATCAATGTGTGATACAACATGTAGAATGATTTATTTTAGTCGGTAATTTAAAAGGGATTCCAATTTTTCATTTGGTGCAATTCATTTCTTCACATGTCCAGGTCCGACTTTAGATATTGGGAGGACAAAGGTGAGCAAATCATTTACCTTCTATTTAAGGATCTTAAGAGTTTCTTCACAATTCAATTTCTCTCTACACAATTAGTTTGTTAGAAATGGTCTGGGCATGGTGGCTTACACCTGTAATCCCAACACTTTGGGAGTCCCAGGTGGGTGGATCACCTGAGGTCAGGAGTTTGAGATTATCCTGGCCAACATGGTGAAACCCTGTCTCTACTAAAAATACAAAAAATTAGCTGGGTGTGGTAGTGGGTGCCTATAATTCTAGCTACTAAGGAGGCTGAGGCAGGAGAATTGCTTGAACCCAGGAGGCAGAGGTTTCAATGAGCTGAGAGCATGACTCCATCTCAAAAAGAAAAAAAGATATAATGGGGAATATGGAGGGCAAGGATACTTTAACTTATGCATAAAAATAATTGATTATCACCCTGTCTCTACAAAAAAAAAGTGGACCTATCGAGGTGGCATATGCTTGTAGTTTCTGCTACTTGGAAAGACTGAGGCAGGAGGATACCCACTACCCAAGAATTTGAGGCCACAATGAGCTATGATCATACCACTGTACTCCAGCTTGGGCAACAGAGTAAGACCCTGTCTCAAAAAAGTGATAATAATAATAATTGGTTATGAATTCAACAAAACGACTTCAAAGAATAATGCAATCATAAGCGCTCAAGAGACACTAGAGTAACAGCATTCTACCATATATGGTGAGGTGCCTATGTAGTTCATGGGAGTAAGTGGGCAGCCCACAGGATACCTGCAATTGTCCATGAAGGACTCGAACTCCCTAGAATGGGCCACAGAGCTCTCTTAAGATATCACTTATAAATTTACAAACCCCCGTGCTGAACTTGTTTTGATTTCAAATGTCATATTTACTGGACAAATGTTACTATGAATTCTGCTAACCAATTCCCTGCTTCACTTTAGAAGGAAAAACTGTGAATGACAAAACCTGGCAGGAACTCAGCAAGCATAAGAATGATTCCCACATCAGAAGGCCCTGTCAGCTAAAAGGTAATTGCTGAATTTAGTTCAGCTGACTTTGCATTTTCCCAAAGTAGTTTAAAGGGCAGGTAAGAAAAATTTACATCTTTCACCATGAAAATAAGCAGAATATTGTGATCTACTTAAAAAGGAAAACCAAATAAGACATAATAGAATATGTATTATTATAAACTATTAAGATATACATGTATATATATACATATATGTCCATACATCACATACACACATGTATGAAAGGAAGTGGGATCTAGTTATGTTGCCTACTGAAGCAAAGAATCAATTGGAAAGAAAATCGAAAGTTTTAATGTTCAAAAGAATTTTAAAATATATTAAAAATTAGAACATGCAAAAACTCTCTAAAGATAACATCAACATGTTAGTAGTTATGGTTAGGTTTCCTTAAAAAAATTTAAGAGAAATAACCTTGATTATGAATGTAAAATTAGGTCATGTTACAATTTAAAAATTTCTAGGAGAGCAAATTAGCAGTCAGATATAGAATAACATATTAATAATAAGTGATTTCATAATTAAAATTACTTTACTTTGGGAAGGCAAGTAATAAAACAGAAAGTCTTAAGGGTTTAGAAAGATGAAAACAGTATCTGCTTGATATTCACCCCCACGGGTTACTGGAACAAGACAAATTTGATTACATTAGCTATTGATGATTTAAGAGTCTAGAAATTTCACCTGGGAATGAAAATGGAATGGGAACCTTAGGAGTCTGCCTGGTGCCCTATTCTACTGTGCCTGGGTTGGTATCGAAGCTGCAAGACAAATTCCTCTTTAACTCCCCTGTGTCCTCTCCTTACGCAGAAGGAAGGAGTCTCTCCTGGGGCTGCAAGCTGTGCTGCCTGGGGTTGGAAAAGGTGTGATCCAAGCATTCCTTTGGCCACTCCTGCTGATGACTTACTAGATCATGTGCACCTCAATTCCACTGGCTTTGAGCCCAGTACAGCACTAGGACTTGCCCAGGAATTGCAGTCCCTGTGGCCTGGACTGCCTTTCAAGTTTACTTAGGACCCCAAAGTGCCTCCGTCTACTGCTGTGGGGCTGGTCAGAACTCGGGAGCTAGTCTATATGCTCCCCTGTGGTTGATGGCTGAATTCTGCCCTGTGTTGCTTTCCATTGTGAGAGACAGCACTGAGGTCAATGCGAAGTCCCACAATAACTTTGGTTTTCCTTCCCCAAGCACCAAGATTCTCTCTCAGCACCATGAGGCTGCTACCAGAGGTAGAGGAGGAGGGTGGAGTCAGCAATCCAAAACTCTTTCCTACTTTTGTCAGTGCCTCTTTCATAGATATGATGTTAGACCAGGTACTGTGATCACTCACCTGATTTTTGGATATTATGGAGGTGCTTTCTTGCGTGAATAGCTGCTCAAGTTGGTTATGTGAGAGGGATGATTGCTGAAGGTTCTATTCAGCCACCTTGCTTCATTCACCTCCCTCTCTATCATGTTTGGATTGGACTCTGTCTTCACCACATGGATACCAGCTATATGCATCCACACCTTCAGTCAGTTAATCAAACATTCCTTTATCAGTTTCTCTATTCATCCATCAATCCACGTATCTATTAATTCCTCTATATGCACATGTTGTATTTTAGATTATTGTATGTTGATCTATGGCTAAAGAAGGTATAACTATGTTTAGACTGCTTTAGACATAAATTTTTCCGTAAATTTCTTCACGTATTCTATTTCCTAAAATTACCTTTCTCTTACGTATTTTTTATTTTGTTGTGTTGTGTTAAATTAGAAATAATGGGCAGGGAATTCTGTTATAGCTAAATTGACAAAGCACCAAAGAATCTTGGCCTTAGGTGAGTTGCTTCTGAGGGCTTTGTCAGAGAAAGAAGAAAGCAAGCCCTTATAGAATTTGTCACAGCTTTGGTATTTCTCAGGTTCTTGAATGACCATGTGTGTTCAGTGAGTACATGTGCATGTGTGTGCATCCAAGAGGTTCAGCCGACATTTCAGCAGTAGCAGTTGAGTCACAGGACATTTCCTAGCAATTAATGCCATGCTAGGAAGAATTGATGGCCTGAGACCAAGGCTGTCTGTAACATTATAAATTGAAGGGAGAAATTCAAGGCCACAAGTTGTAGGCTCAAATTTTATGGGTATAGTGGTTTCATTTGGAAAGCTCAGAGTATTTCTAAGTAATTAGTGACCTATGTATTGACCTAAAATATTTCTTTCTCATTTTAAACACTCCTTCTTAGCTGTTAATTGCATAATTACTTAGTAGTAGTTTACTGTGCCTGCGGATAGGCAGTCTGTGGAGTTCAGTGGGATAAAGATGCAAAAGTGCATCTTCGCTGTCATCCACAGCACATGATTTTATTAGACACTAATGATGAAATTGTAACGATAGCTTCAATAAAATAGAAGAAAATATATAGGGAAATAAACTGTAGGAGTGACATTAACTCTTAAGCAGTCTTATAAAATTCAAGGCCAAGAAAAGGCAATTTTCCTGAATTTCAAAATGATATTTCTACATGACACATTATATTAATAGCATTTCAGCCCAAAAGAGTATTGGGACCTGATGAAAAAATTCCATAGGCTATATTTAGTTAGGATTTGTGTCTGGTGTGTTAATCCATAGATCAACAACATGACTGTACTATATAGATTAAGACCAAATTTATCAGAATAAGTTGAGTTCCAGATGCATAATATTTTTAGTTTATCTAGTCCATTTCCTTCTTCTAAGGAGATTTTTATCTAAGCCTACATCTGTTCTATTGAAAAAGACTACATCTGTGAAATAATGTAGAACAAATTGAGTGCTTAGGACTTTACTATTAAAAAATTGGCACAGTTTATGTGTCAAGAGAAATTAATCTGTAATTCAGGTTAATTGTTAATTTTTCAGCATTATAAATAGGAATAATATTTACAATATTTATTTTAGCAAGTTAAAGTCAATTTTTAAAAGGTTTAAATTTATTTTGGCTTTGTTTATAAAAGAATTGAGAAGAACAAACTTTTGAATCTGTGAATTGGAGTTTACCCAAGATTAACTTATGATTTAATTAAATATAATTTCAAGAAAGTACAAAGAATAAAAGTAAATCTACATTTAAAAAATAATAAAAAGAAAACAAAACATTTGGACATTCAGAAATTTTACAATCAATCAGCGTAAGTGTGACAGACTATTCCATAAGAAAAATCTGGGGAGAAGTGGCATATGTTAGTAAGGGAAGTGAGGGACCAGAGAAAGTCCGAAAACAGTGTTAGCAATAAGAGAAATATTAACTTCACCTATACTGCTGCAATGTTAATTTAAAAATAAATCTCTTGGCTGGGTGCGGTGGCTTACGCCTGTAATCCCAGCATTTCGGGAGGCCGAGGCAGGCAGATCATGAGGTCAGGAGTTCGATATCAACGTGGCCAACATTGTAAAACTTTGTCTCTATTAAAAATACAAAAATTGGCTGGGCGTGGTGGCAGGTTCCTGTAATCCCAGCTACTCTGGAGGCTGAGGCATGTGAATTGCTTGAACTCCAGAGGTGGAGGTTGCAGTGAGCCGAGATCGCACTATGGCACTTCAGCCTGGGTGACAGAGCAAGACTCCATCTTGAAGTATATATATATATTTTTTTGCATATGGCTTTAATGAGATTAATTGTAAAAGGAGAAACCTACCGAGAACAAAGAGGTGTTCTTAAGGCCTTGTACTCTAGTCCACCATTTGAATTACCATTGGTTTGAGACCTACTTTCTCTCCAGAATTCTAGTCAATATTATTATTAGGCCAGCCTCTTCAATGTAAGTTATAAATATTTTGGCTTAATTTTTCAAGACCTTACTAATTATTATTTTTTCATTGGTCTGATGCCAAAGAGCTTAATTTTAAGATGGCAAAAGATGCTATAAATTCAAAATTATGTTCACCATTCTGGTTAATTTTCAGGGAACACACATTTAATTTTAGACAAACTTGTTTTCCAAGAGCAGTTAATTAAACTCTGGCCAAAGTGCGCCACGTGAGGAATATCAGAGGGAAGTTCCCACTTCACGCCTCTCAACCTTTGCTGACAAGGTAGGAATAAACTCCCTGAGGAAAGGATATCCACTGCATGGTGTGATGCCACCTATTTCCAAGGAAGGCTTTCTGAATTCAGTGATGAGACCACTTAGACTTCCACTGTTTATCAAATGAATCGTAGGATCCTTCCGTTATTTAAAGGAGTTCTTACTAGGATTATCGTTGCGTGTTTGAAAATTAATATAGCCAGAAGTTGCTATGTTAGAATAACCTAAAAATTGATGGCTGGGCACAGTGGTCTCGCCTGTAATCCCAGCACTTTGGGAGGTCAAGGCAGGAGAATCATGAGATCAAGAGATAAAGACCATCCTGCCCAACATGGTGAAACCCCATCTCTTCCAAAAATACAAAAATTAGCTGGGTGTGGTGGCATGTGCCTGTAGTACCAGCTACATGGGAGGCTGAGGCAGAAGAATGGCTTGAACCCAGGAGGCGGAGGTTATAGTGAGCTGAGATTGCACCATTGCACTCCAGCATGGTGACAGAGCAAGACTTCGTCTCAAACAAACAAGCAAAAACATAAATAAATAAAAATTTTAAAATAAAAACTTTTCTTTACATTATCCCTTTTATTCTTTTTGCTGCCTCTGTATTTGAAGGGCAGTTGGAATCTCAGTGTTTATGCTGGCTGGCATATTCCTGTGCTCATTGATGTTGGTAATCTGTGATGTAGTTCATGCGTGTTCTGATCATCTATTGCCGCAAACAAACCATTCCAATAGTTAGCAGTATGAAACAGCATCTTATTAGGCTCATCAATTTGTAGGTCAGTAATTCAGTTGGGGAACTGGTTCACAGTATGATGTCTGAGGCTACATTTGGGAAGACTTGAATGACCTGGGAGGACTTAACCATCTGGTAGCTGGAGTTATGTAGAGGCTTCTTCACTTACCTGTCTAACAACTAGTCTAGGTTAGGCTGGGCTCAGCTGGGCAGCCAGCTAAAGAACCTCTATGTGGCCTTTTCATGTCACTCCAGCTGTTCCCAGCCTCAGGGTTGGGTTTCAAGAGGATGCAACATACAAGGGAGAGTCACATATCACAGGAGGAAGTATCTAGAAATGAACATCCCAAGAACCAAAGGTGGAAGCTGTAAGGTTTCTTGTTTTGTAATGGTTTTCGTTTGTATTTTGCTTTTTGAGACAAGGCTTCACTCTGTTGCCCAAGCTGATCTCAAACTCCTGGCCTCAAGCAATCCTCTGCCTCAGCCTCCCAAGCAGCGGGCTGTACATGCTTTACTGCCTCCCACTTATGCCAGGCTTCTTTTAACTTAACCTTGGAAATCACAAAATATTACTTCCACTGCACTCTACTGTGACAAGTGAGTCACTAAGATCACTTCAGAGTTAATAGAAGAAGAATTAGACTCCATTTCTTGATGAAATGTCAAGGTCACTTTGCAAAAGAACACATGGTATGGGAGATGTGGTTGTGAGCAACTTTGAGAAGAGTAGCCACATACTGTCTAATTCAACTACTGCCTTCACTGCTACTTAGGACCAAATAGATTGTCTTTATAAAAAAAAAATGTTTGAAGGGTAATATTTGGGAATCATAAATAAACAAAAAATATGTAAGACCAGACACCAAAGGTATGTTTTCATAAAATACAATTAGCTTAGTGTACCTAACCTAGTCCCAACCCTCAAAGGTCCCCATTTTCTACCGCAGGGGCTGTAAACTGGTACCTCTGTAGCTACATTTATTCAGAAGAAAAGCTTGTTTGCGGCCATATGGTGTTTTAAAAATCAGGGAATTTTACAGTAAAATCCATATATTTATATACCCTTGAAAAACATGAGGAAAAGTGCCAATCTAGGGCCCAAAGTCTCAGGTGACTTCAACAGAGGGAGCTCAGGGCCTTGGCTACCCTTTAGCTGGGGAGTTGGACCTTAAGCTCCCTGTAGAATTCCCATTGCCTTCTGGATCTGATTAACTTCACTTAGTTATATATTTATTTCCTGTAGATATTTATATTTACAACATTGATCTAAAGGTTTATGCCTCAATTCTTCCACCTGGTACTCAGGGCCTATTAAAATTTGGTCTCAGCACCTATCCAGCCCTCTTTTTTTTTTTTTGAGACGGAGTTTCGCTGTTGTTACCCAGACTGGACTGCAATGGCGCGATCTCGGCTCACCGCAACCTCCGCCTCCTGGGTTCAGGCAATTCTCCTGCCTCAGCCTCCTGAGTAGCTGGGATTACAGGCACACACCACCATGCCCAGCTAATTTTTTGTATTTTTAGTAGAGACGGGGTTTCACCATGTTGACCAGGATGGTCTCGATCTCTTGACCTCGTGATCCACCCGTCTGAGAACTGCTCTCGGGCCTCACCAGCTCAATCTCTACACTTAATTAAACATGTTCCGCTTCTGCTGCACTACAGGCCAATGTTCATGGCATCACTGCTATATTTATATCTTTTCCTTTTCTTCCACCTTTTTAAACTATCTCCATTCTTTAAGCTTCCATTCTGGCCCTGTTTCTTCCACAAGTTCTCTGAGTCATGGCGATCTCTCCCCACAGAATATGAATCACTCGTTTTTCTGCTTTGTGTTATGTAAGTGCATCGCACATATTCGTATCTTGTTTCCTCAGCTTGATTCCAAATTCTAGAACGCAGGAGGCCACTTTACTGTTCTTTTTCTATACCCAGAAGAACGCCGATAGAAGGAGTTATCCAAAATTCCTGTAAAAAGGTGATTAAAAGAGGCAAGATGGAAAGGAATAAAAGAAGGGAGGCAATAGCTGTTTTCCTCAAGACAGAAAATAAAAACCAAGCTGCTAAAGCTCAGCCTCTAGCGGCCTGACCCTGTGACATACATTCTTCATTCATAGAACCAGATCACAAAATCATATCATTTTAAAATTTAGGTACTTTCTGGAATCCTGTTGTATGGCTACTCTCATTTTAATATTAGGTTATTGGTGCAAATAACGTTGAGATTGTGCTGTGAATTTAATATATCTTTGAACTATCGCTATGATGGAGATCTGGAGAAAAATCTGCGCCTATTTTTTTACTGTGCATGAGAATGAGGAATAGTGGAAAACTGAAGCAATGGTTGCAAATAAACAGGAGTGAAAGTGAAAGGAAAACTCACTGCCCTGGTGACCAGGTGATGTTGTGGGTCGCACTCCCCTCATCTGTGAAATAAGAGGCTTGGATTAAGCGACCCATAAGTCTTGTCCCCTTTTAACATACCATATATTTCAGACTTAAATAAATGAAGCTCCCTTTTACAGGAGCTAAAAGGGAAGTGCTGCTACTTTTGAAAAGGTTTCATTTAGCTGCAAGCAAATGGATGCTACATTGCAAAGCTTTTACTAAAGCATGCATAGAACAATTTGGACATAAATAATTCATGTTGAGAAGACCTAAGCTAATGAAGCTCAAAATGCCAGGGGTGGAAAGCTTAGTTTAATAGAAACAGGTGAGGTGCTAACTGCATAGAATCACAGCATTTTGGAGTTAGAAGTGGCTTTTGTTGCTAGTCCACAATCCTATTATTACCAAGAGAGAAAGGGAGTCACAGTGAATTTCCATTGCTTCCTCAAAAACACAGCTGGTCAGGGGCATCCCTATTTTCTTAAACTTCTATTTTATTTTGATCTGTTTCTTGTAAAAATAGCATATATTTTAGAAAAATTTTTTTGACCTAGCCAATGTAATGCCTTACAGACTAAATAAAAACATGAGTGTTAAATTCTACTTAAACTTCCTAAATCCTAAAATTTCTGATAATCCGTATATAATAGTAATCTCTTTCCTTAGATCTAAACGAAGATGATTTTCTAAGTAACAACATGCATACTCTTCAAGGAAAAACGCCACAAGGAACTTCCTGTCAGGTAATGTGAATAATCAGCATTTGCGAGTTTTGTAAAAATCATCTTGTTACTCAGCTCTGTAATATATCAGAAAGAGTATACAATATTTAGACAGCCTTGTAGCTATTTGGTATTTAGTTATTATAGGTTGTTTTATAATTGATATGCTTATGTCCCTGTGAATTGAAAAACAGATAAAAAAAATCAAATGATGTAAGATAATAAACTATTTTGATTTTGCAAAACATCATGTTGTACAGCCTTTTGATAAGTAAGTCTGGGAATATTAAATTAATATACTGCAATGTTCTCTGTCAAGACCTATGCTAAGCACTTATATAAAAACATATACTGTAGGTCCTGACCAATGCCTCCAAAAATTGCATTAATCAGCCCAGGAGTTTGGGCAATTAAAAATGTCTGAATGTTTGGCCTCCCTAATAATAATAACATAATATTAATCAATAGCCAAATACTTGCCTTCACCCTGTAACAAGAAAGGGTATATATGAGTCAACAAGGCCAATTCAGGCATCAGACTTACTTTTGATGTTTTTCCTGACAGCCATGAAGTTCTCTTTAATCATTCTGATAGTTGTATTAGAAAATTTAGAACTGACCTTACTTGGTGCAGTAGGTAGAAGGTACATAGCATATGAATTGTAAAGTGCTGATTTGGTGAGGAAAGGAAGCTCACATTCCTAAATCCAGCCTGATTCCTGATGTTGTTGGAGGCTGTCCAATGAATTCGATGGTAGATCATGATTTTGATCCACTACAGTTTCTGCTGGCTGCTCTGATGCTACCAGAATGATAGACCTGTGCTACAAGACATGCTAACACATTGCCTGAGCACCGTCTCCCAGTGAGTTCTCCCTTAGTGCATGGATGAGAGCTCTGAAATCAGACAGAGTTCAGTCTGAATCTTCCTTTGACTGTTAGTAGCTGTGTGGCATTGTTCAATTCACTTAGACTCTCTGCTTCTATTATCATCTGTAAAATATGTGTATAAAAAAATCTCGGTACTTTCATGAGGATTCAGTGAAACATGCCATTAAAACAGTACAGTTCTATGTCTGCTAGTTGAAGCTTACTTTAAAAAATTCATTGGTTGTCATTGCTCCTCTTTTCTCTTCCTCTCCTCACCCTCCTTCTCCCCTTACTCTTTGCAAGGGCTTAATGACACTTGTACACGCACAGCTGGAAGATTATCTCTGAAACACACAGTCTCATTTTCCTAAATTCAGATGAAACCTCAGATATAATATCTAAGTGAATCATTGTCTGATAGCCAGGAGAAAAATAACAGCTGATTTACAGGAAGAGCTCCCTAGACATGCCTTATGCCAAAAGAAATCCTTCTGTAGGTTTTTAGTAGAAAAATAGACCTATCTCTTGGAAAGAAGAAAGTAATGTAGGAAGTTCTTAGAAGAAAATGGTTAAAGATAAATCTTTACCCTAACTGCAATGCTCCTAGTGGTTAAATTTGGCTAAGAAATGGTGCTTCCAGAATGGTAAGCATTCAATTGTGCCATGTAGTCTATCACTAAAGATTGAAGGAATTCATACGTAGTGACAGACAAGCAGGAGCCATCTAATCTAGAAATCCTCATTTAGGAGTAGGCACTGGTCTTATCTAAATTTTATAATATATTCACAGTAGACATTCAATTGAATTTAACTAAGACACCCTTATCTTTATGACAGAATAGTTTAACAAGGAGTATTATGCAAAATATTAATTTATTAACTTCTTGTGACTAAGGAGAAGTGGATGCAATTTATCTTTTGAAAGATGGGGAAGGGAGGGAGCTATTGTCAGATGGAGAAGCTGATGTGAGCGGGACACTGGCTTGTCAGTGGGCATAAGATGGAAGATGAAACTTGGCCTTCCATCAATTAACAAATGACTATCAGATAAGTGTTTCTCCAGTTATACCCTGGGAACTGTCTATATCAGACTTAACTGGAGCATCACTTAAAAAGGCAGACTTTGGTGCCGTACTCTTGTTCAACTGGATCATCATGATTGGAGTCTAGGAAGTGGTATTTTATGTGACAATGTTCAGTACATAAGCCACGAAACTCCTGAATTCAAGAGAGTTGGTTGTCAGTCCATTTTGTGTAACAATAAAGAAATATCTGAGACTGGATAGTTTATAAAGAAAAAGGTTTATTTGGGTCACAGTTATGATGGCTGAAAAGTTCAATATTGGGCATCTGCATTTGGTGAGGGCCATGGGCTGCTTTCACTCACTGTTGAAGTGAAGGGGGGCAAGAGATTTCACGGCAAAAGAGGAAGCAAGGCAATGGGAGGTGTGTGCCAAGCTCTTTGAAACTGCTGGTCACGTAGGAACTAATAGAGTGAAAACTCACCTCTTAGGGAGAACATTAATCTGTAGAGGGATCCAGCCCCATAACCCAAACACCTGCCATTAGGCCTCCTGTATTAGTCCACTCTCACACTGCTATGAAAAAATACCGGAGACTGAGTAATTAATAAGAAAAGAGGTTTAATTGACTCACAGTTCTGCATGGCTAGGGAAGCCTCAGGAGACTTACAACCATGGCAGAAGGCAAAGGAGAAGCAGGCACCTTCTTTACAGGGTGGCAGTCTGAAGTGAGTGTGAGCAGGAGAAATGCCAGAGGCTTATGAAACCATCAGATCTCATGAGACTCACTCACTATCATGAGAGCAGCATGGGGGAAGCTGCCCCCATGATCCAGTTGCCTCCACCTGATCCTGCCCATGACAGGTGGGAATTATGGGGATTACAATTCAAGAGGAGATTTTGGGTGAGGACACAACCAAACCATATCACCCCACATCCAATATTGAGAGTCAAATTTCAACATGAAGGTTGGAGACAACAAATGTCCAAATTATGACCATGAATACTTGTTCACAGATGTGATGTCGTATGATTTTAACTTTATAAACTCAAACTTGGCTTAGGTAGGGTCTTGAAAGACAACAGCCTTCCAGAAAAAGTGAAATTGATTTTTGTTCTCTATTGTGGAGATGATACACATTCATTGTAGAATTTCTTAAAACTATGTAAAAATAGAAAGAGTTAAAATAGTGAATAGTATCTTAGTGTAAATGTATTTCTGTTTCTATTTCCTGAATATTAGTAACATGGGATAAAGTTTGTGGAATGTAAAACATTGTATAGTTATAATTATCATATGACTATGCTTACAAAATATATTTCAGACACTACGAATGATCAGAATTAAATGTCTAATTCCCAGTCAGAAAGTAGTTAGGCAAACATGTTTCCTTCAGGTTCTCAAAATGGAAGAGAAGATCTCAGGTATAGAAGAAGTTACAAAGGATCAGGTGGCAGGGGCAAGAGAAGTTCATGGAACGCTTTCTCCTGAACCCACTTTGCCCCATGCATATTTCTGCATACTTGGCCCAAGATAAACTTGCCGGAGAACCAGACTTATGGAAGAAGTGCTGATGGGTAGAGTTTGAAGCAAAGCAGTCTGCTTAGTACTGTGATCATTACATCAACCATAAAGAACAGCTTGGGAAAACCTGACTCCCAGCATTTATTTTTGCATTCTTGTTCTTGTTTGTTCTTCTCTGGCAGCACTCAGTTGATGGCTCAAACCTTTAGTAGCATATTAAAACTGGTATAAAATATGCAGTAATACAGACTTTGGGCTAATATATTTTCAAAAGTTTGCATGCCTCATTTCTCACATAAATTCTTAGGTTGCATTCAGCCTTCAGAGTATCATTCATATTCATGATAGAAAAGAGAGATAACATTTATTACCTTCAGTGCTGGTGATATTAAGCACTGTCAAGCACCTCTACCCAGAACTGAACTAAAACATTTGCTTTCTGAGCTCCTTAAGTGAGAAAAAATGTTGCTAATTGAATTAATTAATAAAAAATATGTATCTATGTATAGACAAATACATAACATTCCCTCAACCTTGAGGTTCCCTTCTATGGCAGCTATTAAAGTATTAAGAGTTAAATCATTCCACACCAATCAATCTCTTTCTTGATGTCCTTCACTATGGAGACTGCAAGTTTCATTATTTGAATTCTCAGCCTCCCAATAGTTAGGGGTGGCCATGGAATCCAGTTGTGGCCAATGAAATATAGTCATAAATTCCTGAAGAGGACTTCCTTTTCTGGAAAAAAAAAGCAGAGTCTCATGAAGATAAAACTTTGTCTTTTTCTCTCTTTTCTACCTGGAGCTGGATGTGATACTTGGTAACTCAGCAGCCGTCTTCCAGCCACGAGGCAAAGTCACACATGAAAGACGGTGGAGCAGGCACATGCACAGAGCCTAATTCACTGAGGACATCCTTGAGAAGCTGTACCCGGGTTGGAAAGCCTATGTCTGCCCTTCTATTTTACAGAAACATAAGCCCCATACTTGTTCAAGCCACTACTGTTGGTTTTTCTGTTCCTCAAAGCTGAATACATTCCTGATAATTTATTTTTAATACAGTCACTTTTGCTAATGCTGAACTCTGCTCTACATAAGCAATCGGACAACTATGTCCACAGAATTAAACAGTGTCTGGACTCACTTCTTATTGTACAAACTAGACTGGCCTCCTTAGGTTCACATGTAGTATAACCAGCACTTAGAGTTCATCATTTAGTCCTTAGGATGAAAATTGGATTGCTAACAAATAAAATATTGGCGACACACATCCCATTGGCTATATACAGACTTAAAACTATATCTAACATAGCTTACCATTTTGGGGATATGTGTGTAGACTGGACAAAATGACACCAATCTTTCATGAGCCTAACTGAGGTCACAGCACTGGGTGGCTGGAGAAATAATCTAAGGTTATGCTGTGATATATTAACAAGCAGGAGACACAGGTCCTTCATTAGGTTTTATCAGACCAATTTGAGGCACTTCTAAACTAAGGGGGAACAAAAACTAAAAGGTAGAAACAAAGAGTCCAAAGTGACAGATTGCTCAGTAGTGCCTGCCAGTGTTAACCAAATGATAATCTTTACGTATTATGTGATAATATTATGATATTATATATTGATTAATGTTTCTTGTTTTAAGTACTTTCTTACCAATTATATGACTAACTCTTGTATTAGATCTCTATTGATGCATGACAAATTTTCCCCAAATTTAGGGGCTGAAAACAAACAAACAAAATTATTTCACAGTTTCTGTGGGTCAGAAGTTGGGAAGTCTCTTAGAGAGACTCTAAACTGGGCATTTCTAGCTTAGAGTCTCTCTTGTGATTATAATCAAGGTGTTATCTGAAGGCTTGACTGGGGCTTTAGGGTTTGTTTCTAACTCCCTCTTATAGAAAGGTAGACAGGTGACTTTAGTGTTTTTATGGGAGTTGACTACAGGGATAGGTCCTTTGCCATGTTGCTCTATCCATGAGGCTGCGTTTCTTCATAGAATGGCATTTGGTTTCCCCAGAGTGAGTATTGAAGACACTGAACAAGAGGAGGTCACAATTCCTTTTAAGACCTAATTTCAGAGGTTAAACATCATTACTTCTATTTTATTCTATTTCTTAGAAGCAACTCAATACATCCATCTCACACTAAGGGTGGGGAGCAGTATTATGATCCACCTTCTAAAGAACTCTTCAGTGTAAAAGAATTCGTGAGTGTATTTTAAAACCATTATAACTACCTAATACTATTCTGAGGTTATAGACAGAGAAGTTTTCTACTTCCAAACACCAAGATTATAACTTATTTTGCAGGTAGAAATAATATAGGTCTGTATTTTGTTATCTTGAGAAACAATCTAATCTCCTTTCTTTAACAGTAGAAGACTTTAAAGAGTGGGCTTCAGTTGTTGTTAAAGAAACATAGGATGTTAACATGGAATCCAAATATTTAATTTCTGGTGAAATAAAATTAAGATCATATTGGATTTTCTCATTTCCTTATCCAAAGTTATACTGCATTTATGATAAGTGTACTTACACTTTTAAAGAAAGGAAGAGAGTTTAAGCAAGTCTACATTTTAACTTTTATTTAAAGAAGAGGAAATGCCTGATTCTAACAAATGATTGGTAAGAATGAACTCTACATATGTACGTGTGTTTTCCTTTTTGAGGACTTAATTGGTGTTCCTTAGCATCATTCCCACTCATTTTTAAAAAGGAATTATGCAACCCAGAAAATGGCCAGTAGATGCATTCTCATATACTGCGTCAAGCCCTGGGCATTAGGTAGCATCCTTAAAATGTAACAAACCTGAACATGTGGGCCTAGTCTTTTAAGAACCTACAGGTTACACACAGTGGCAAAAATAAAGTCCAGTCACTTAGTACTTGTTTCAGTCACTTCAGCTACTCTGTCAGTTTTCTGCTTCAAACCTCTTGTTCTTTGGCTATATTTCGTGAGCTAGAACTCCAGAATTCTGCTGAGGTTTGGACTTTATGGAAACCAAACTTACATTAACTTTATATGAGTCAAAACTTTGACTTTAAACTGGTTGCTTCAACTCTCTGTGCTTCAATTTCCTTATGTGTAAAATAGTGGTAAAACTGCTTGCGATTGTCATAAATATTAAATAAAGGAGCATATGTATACTACTCCCAGAAGATGTTTAATGAATATTCATATTTTCTTGTCTCTAAATTTCTCTTAACCTCATTGCAGACTCCCCTCAGGATGAAATTTGAAATTACCTTTGTCTTAGTTCTTTCTGGCAGCTATAGCAAAATACCTTAAACTGGGCATTTTGTAAACAATAGAAATGTATTGCTTACAGCTCCAGAGTCTGAGAAGTCCAAGAAAAGGCACCAACAGATTCAGTGTCTGCTTCAAAAAGGGGGCAAGGTAGCTCCCCTCAACCTCTTTTGTAAGGGCTCTAATTCTTTGCCCTCATGACTTAGTAACTTCGCCAAAAGTCCCACCTCTTCATACTATCTGTTATCGTTTGGATAAGTGTTCCTGCCCAAATCTCCTGTTGAATTTTGATTTCCAGTGTTGGAGGTGGGGCCTGGTAGAAGGTGGTTAGGTCATGGGATTATGAAGGTGCTAAGATTATGAGTGAGTTCTCATGAGATCTGGTTGTTCAAAAGTGTGTAACACCTCCCCCTCCACTCATTTGCTCCTGCTCCTGACATGTGGGAATACGTGCTCCCCCTTCGCCTTCCACTATGACTGGAGACTTTCTGAGGCCTCTCCCAAAGCAGAAGTCACTATGCTTCTTGTACAGCCTATAGAACTGTGTGCAAATTAAACTTCTTTTCTTTGTAAATTACCCAGTCTTAGGTATTTCCTTACAGCAATGTAAAAAGGGACTAATACACTATCACATTTTGTATTACATTCCAACATGTGAATTTGGGGGCAACAGAAATATTCAGACCACATCACTGTTTTATTACCTGTTATAGACTCCATCAAATGCCCTTTGCTGCAGTCTTGAAGTGCCCTCAGTAGAAATTGTTTGATACGAGTATGTAAAGTTTTAAAAAGGTGTAGAAGCAGGCAGTAAGAAGCTTACATGGACAGATACCAAATGTGCTAAAATATATCCCACACTATGACTCGAGATATTACCCAACCCCAAACGTATATTTGATTTAAGTTTAGACTCAACCAGAGTTTCTAAAATGGTTGCTCATTATGTACCTAATAATGTAGAGCACTAAGGGATTACAGTGAGCTGCTTCATAAAACATTCCGGATCCTCTCTTTCCACTAGCCCTTCTAGATGTGAGATGATGGATTGGGAGAGCTCTATGTGAGGGCTGAGGAGTAAATTTAATACATACAGACACACATGCATATCACATAGACACATATATGGATATATAATGTGTGTATACTATATATACATATGCATACATATTCCATATTTGTCTTTATATGTATGTATACATATAAAGTTTCATTAGATGAAGTCACTAACGAAACTAATCAGTGTGCTTTGATAACAAGAAAATTATTTCTAATTAAGACAACGAATCCTTTCCCAAGTAGTTTGGTAGCTTTGTGGAGTTTTTTGGTTTTGTTTTTTAAAGAATGTTAACACGAGTTTTCTCTTTTTCCTTTTCTAATTTCTAAGATTACCTCTGAATATTGGAGTCCATTTCACTATCAAAGACATGTTGAACCTACTCTTGATGAAATGGTGAGATATTTCTCCCCAGATATAACTATTTAGCTGAATTTTCCATCTCTTTTCCAATCATTTTAATGCCACAAACACTGTTTTCTATAGTTCTTTATTACATTTGTTTTTAGCTTCCCCATAGAAGTGCTTCTAAAGAATATAAAAAGAGGTTTGTCCTTATTGAGCGGTTTTCTGATCTAAAAGGAGCATAAAGCATTTCCTCCAAAGAAGGATAGGTTATATACAAATTTTTCTCTAAAATGTATAATGTTAAAAAGCATATCTTCTGATTTGGGAGAAATCAGTGCTATTTCACATTTCTGGGAGAAGTGTACATCATTGTAGCACTGCTAAAAAAAGAGAACTTGGAAGCAGCATGAGTGTGTGACAAGAGGAATCAATTAATTAATTGGATTATGGTCCAGACAATGAAATATAATAAAACCATTTTTTAAAAAGTATCTCTCTGTACCAGCTCCCCCTTATGATGTTAAAATCACATCAACTGCCTTCCTCTCCTTGTTGAGATATTGCTAAACAGAGGTTCGTAGAAAGGACGTGTTTTAAAAGGTCTGGCAAATTTCCAAGGTATTCACATACATCGACAGGTATTATAGCATTATAGATATGAATCAACTATAATTACTATTTATAGTTCTTATTCAAGATGGTTTGGTAACACTATAAGCTAATGTATGCAACTTATTTGACTATTGCTCCCCAAAATGTAATAGTAATTTTGTAACAAATCACTACTTTTGGTAAATCACGTTTCTTTATGTAGGTATGAATACAAAAGTTTTAATATCTTTATTTATAGCTCTCTCTTCCCCATTATTATTAACATGCTATTAACAACTACATTTTTATAACAGTTTCTTTTCAACTATAGTTTTTTTTTTTTTCTTTTTTTTGGGTCTAAGGGACATCTAAATTGTTCTAGGTAGGAGGAAGAGGCGACTATTAGGTACAATTTAAATATTACTTCTGTTTCCTAAAACAAATTATTGAGCTTTGCCCTTGCTATTTCTCATGCTGTCTGAATTTGTAATGACTAGTTAAATACCAAAGAGCTGTAGGAAACAAACAAATGAATCTCAATAAATACTAAAAGGACTTTTGGATGAAAATAAAGCTATACATTTGGGAGGACTATGAAATGCCTTAATCAGAAACAGAAGTAAGAGAACTGGATCGTGGGACCTGGATCTACCACCGACTGTGCTCTTAGACCACTCAATTCACATTTCTGCATCTCAGTTTCCTCATTTGTAAAGTAAACTCTTGGACTATAGAATATTTCTACAGACTCCGATAATCTGTGGTTAACAGTAGCTCATTCCCACTTTTTCATTGATATTTTCTTAAGGTTCAAGAATGTATGTAAAGCAACAAAAGGAGATACTTCTCTAGCCAAATGTCCCCAAGGATATTGGAGGAACAATGAATTCCTCTGATCCAATTCTAGATTTTACAGATGAAGGGTTGAAGTGCAGAGAGGTGAAGTGGCTCACTCAAATTCACATGGCTAGTCACAAAGCAGATTTTTAAAGCAGAACCATCATTTGTCAACACACAAGGGCAGGTTCTTACTCCAGGTTTGCTTTACATTTCTTGTGTATATTAAATTATAAATCCTAAATTAAAAAGTTGTTTTTTTACTGTGTAATTTTCTATCCATATCTCCTCTTCTTGCTAAGAATCCAATAGACACTTATTACGAGTTGATTGATTTGCATACTGGCTCTTACATTTCCTATTCACATTTTTTGGTCAGCTAGGAGGTGTACCCAAAAAGAGAAATGCTCTTATGAGCAGTTTTAGAAACTTCTTCAAAATTTCAGAGCAGAGGATATTACGCAGGAAGTAGGAAAGATGTGGCTTCTGTGGCCTTTTCCCTTAAATCAACACAACCCTCGTTTGCAACTCTGGTTTGTGTAATCCTGGCAACTCCCACCTAGTATGGCAGTGTCTTCACATTCAAAGACTGACCCTAAGCTTTACGTCAGTGAGGAAAGAGCAGAAGTGAATTGGCCATGACATTGCCACTTCATTTTACAATGGAAAATTGGGCCTGTGTGGCTCTGGAAGACTCCTTTCCTTTTTTACGGTGTTTTCAGAGGGCACATGATTCCAAGACCAGAATTATGCACCTCAAAATCTGCTTGAGAGTAAGGAGGAGCTAGAAAATTTTATTAGGACTTGAAAGGATTTTAGTGTTTATATAGTGGGATAAGACTATTACGTAAATGGCTTTGTCAGGCATCCTAAATTATACGGCTTAGCTTCTTAAATACCTGCTAATCCTTTAGCCAAGCACATTTCCCCTCCCTGCTCTCACCTTATGCAATCTTTCTCTCCTGTAATAATCCTTGAATTTTATTTGTAGTTCTTATATGACACATATAAAACTTTTTTTTTCCAGATGTATTTTTGGCCAGCTGTTCAGTTTGAATATATATAAACTGACTGTACTGATTCTAGGAATTGATATGAACAAAACAGTACTAGAACCCAAAGAAGTCACCTTCCAGTGAGGGGGACAGGAGGAGAAACATATGACTGTTTTTCTTAGTACTCATGTTAGGCAATGCGCATCACAAGCAGACACAATGTTTCATTCTTCCTTTTTTTCCCCCTGAGCCTGAGTTTCACTCTTGTTACCCAGGCTGGAGTGCAATGGTGCCATCTTGGCTCACCAGCCTTCTGAGTAGCTGGGATTACAGGCACGTGCCACCATGCCCAGCTAATTTTTTGTATTTTTAGTAGAGGCGGAATTTCACCATGTTGACCAGGATTGTCTCGATCTCTTGACCTCGTGATCCACCCGCCTCGGCCTCTCAAAGTGCTGGGATGACAAGCGTGAGTCACCGCGCCCGGCCTCATTCTTCCTCTATCTCCCATAGATTAAGCGCTCAGCAAATATTTGATAAATGAATAAGTCAATGTGTTATAGGCCTTCTCGGAGAATATATTTGATTTCACTAGCTAATTCATTCAATTGCTCATTTATTCTATTACTTTAAAAATTTTGCCTAGCTTTATTTTAAGTGCTGATCTAATCTTGGTTTAAGTTCAGTTTCTAACACTGAAAATTAATAATTTTTAAAATTATAATTATATGTGAATAATGTCAACATGGCAGTTTTCACAACAGTAATTATTTCTTCAATCAATATTTTATTTGCATAAAAATTATCGTTTTAATTAATTATAGTTCCAAGAAAGCAGTAAAATAAACCTCTGAAGTGAAATGTATTTGTTTTCATGTGTCTGCACTGATCAATTCTAGTCCATAATCCCATTGGTTTTATTACTGTTCGTTGAGTTTCTAAACGTTTATTAATCATTGTGACCTTAAAATTATCTTTTTAGAGTGTGTTTTAGGTAATGAATAGAGACTAGTCACTTTTATATAGGAGGGAATAAAAATATAGATTTAGGGGTTTAATAATTCAACATTTAAAACCTTTTCTTTGTTTTGTTTTTACCATGAAAGTAGCTCTCTCCTTCCAGTCTCTAGGCACCTTCCCTTTCAAGTGACTAAGAACAAATTCCCTGTAGAAAAACTGAACACTTTTGTCCTTAGTAGGGACAGATCGAATTTTTGAAATCTGCCTTCTCAATACATTTTGTAGTTTATGGAATTTCTTGCCACATGTGGAGGCTCACACCTGTAATCACAGCACTTTGGGAGGCTGAAGTGGAAAATTAAGGCCAGGAGTTCAAGACCGGCCTGGCCAATATAGCAAGACCTCATCTCTACAAAGTAAATAAATCATAAATAAAAATAATTCCAGGTGTGATGGTGCATGCCTGTAGTCCCAGCACTTTGGGAGGCTGAGATAGAAGGATAACTTGAGTTTAGGAGTTCAAGGCTACAGTGAGCTCTTATTGTGCAATTGCATACCAGGCTCCAGCCTGGAGGACAGAGCAAGACCAAGACCCTGTGTTTAAAACAAACAAACAAACAAAAATTTCTCCCAATTATTATAATTACAGAACTAATACATCTTCATTGTAGAAAACTAAGAACTGTAGAATATATAAAGAAAGAAAATGACCACATATGGTGGTGTTTATAGTTTCAATATAAATTTACAATCTGATTTTTCATCTAATTTATGTGAACATTAAAAAATTTCTAAGACCTGTGCATTGGCAAAGTTTTAATAATGAAGCAAAGCATCATAAGACCAGGAAACTTAGAGAACACTGTCAATGCAAAACATAGGAAACTACCTGCAATTTCGGTTTCCATTACAGCTTTCTTTAAAAATAAACCAAAATATCAATTTTTGAAAATCCCCATTTCTCCTGTTGAAGGAATTATGTGAAATAGACATCAAATTACTAGGATTTGTTATCTGAATATTTGTTAAAGATGGCACTAGAGAGGAAAATTTTTCTAAATCAGAAATTAAGAACAAAAGAAAGAACAAAGGGTTTTTTGTTTTGTTTTGTTTTTTACTTCATTAAGTCTGACATGTTATTCAGCTTCCTTTTCAGTAGCGGAGTAAGGAGAACATAATTCGGACAGATGGGCCATCTGGTTTTAGTTAGTCTGTATAAGCCTAAATTTTCCTTCTGTAAAAGGAAGCGATAATATCAAGAGAGATTTAAAAGATGTAAATGCCTTTCCAGCAAATATGTGTAAGCATATACATACATACAAACACATATATTTATTTCCTTCTTAATTATTTATATTTAAGAGGATAGGCCTACCAATCTGAAAGTGCCTACCTGATACTTATTCTGTGTCTTGGAAAACCATATTTAACCTCCAAATCGATTCCCTGAATTTGATTGGTCTTAATTTGGTTGTCAATACTAGATAACTAGTAATTATTCTGGACTTTAAAGTCGCTGTTAGAAAAAATATTGGCTTAAAAGTCAGAATACTTGATTCCCATCCCAACTCTATTATTAATAGATTATCTTTCCTTGAGTAAGCCACTTAACTTCTCTGAGTTTTCTCATTTTTTATATAGTCTGGTAGACTAGTTGTCTAATAATTTCCATTGCAGCTCATAAAATATGATTGTAGGACTAATCCAGTTCAATAATTCATTGATGCTATCTTCTAAAAATTATTATCTAATCTTAATATAGAAGCGAAGTGTCAGAAAATGAGACATATTTAACCAAGCACTTCTAACAAAATTTGTATACTATTTAAGGAAGAGTGACCAAAATGAAATAAAAGATATTTACATTTATAGACATAAATATATGAAATATATAGTATATACATGTTAAATATATACATATGAAAAATTACATTTACACTTGCATATAATTACCATTTTATTGGAAATTTACATCTTTCAAAGAAGTCTATAAATTAGAAAGACAAAAGTGAAAAGAAAACCAGTTAGAGACTTGACAATAGTTTCAATGAAAGAAAATTAAACTAGATTGATAACAACAGAGATGGAGAAAAAAAAAACATTTAAAATACATTTTGGTGATAGAATAGACCAAACTCTTCATTACAGAATGTGCACTGGGTGGATGAAGATGGCCTTCACTGAGTTGAAGAAGACTGTATGAGCATCATATTTGGGGCACAGGTCTAGCGGTCAGTACTGATTGTGCTTAAAAATTGTTTTAAATACATAGTTGGATATGTGAGTCTGAAGCTCTGCAGCGAGGCCTAGAGAAAGAAAGAAATTAGGAGTCATTAGCATATAAGTGGTGTAAAAAGTGGTGTGTGTGCATGAATGCACACGAGAAGAGAATGATGGTGATATCAGATGAAAGCTCAGGGTTAATCCTTAAGTAATTTCAAATTTTAATGTTAAGAAAAGGAAGCTGTCAGCATATAGGAGTTATAGAAGGAAGAGTCAAAAAAGGCAAAAGGAAAATCAGAGGGACATCGTGTCACAGAAGCCAAGAAAAGGGTGTGTTTCCAGAAGGTTGCCATGGTCAACATTGCTGAATATCATGTAGTAAAGGAGTTTTAGAATGGACCACAAGGACAATTTAAAGGAAATGGCAGAGATGAAAGCTGATAGGTGAGATACATTGAAAGGATGTGAAGTTAATAGATTTAAATTACAGGAAGCATAAATAGTTAACATTTTGAGACAAATGCCTAGGAAAAAGAATAGAAAAAGTGAATGAAAGATGGTGAAGTAAATATGAATGACACAGAGCACGTTTGAATGCTATTGGGAAGAGTCCATTGAAATAGAAAATCAAAATTCAGTAGATACAGAAGAACAAAACTGTAAACCAAATTGTATCATCCTCTAGTTAGATATTCCATATTCTTCAACCTGCTCTACAGAAGTTTCCTGGAAGGATCTCTGTTATTCTCTGGGCTCACCTCTTGATACTATTCCTTTTTTTCTCTTCATGGTCACATACTAAGCATATTCCAGGAATTCCAGCTTTAGAACCTTTGAAAACTGTATTGTGTTCCAAGACTTCTCTACTCTCTGCTATTTGCCTGGCTGAAATTTTCTCTTACTTAAGTCTCAGGCAAAATATTCTTTCTGACCATCTGCTGAATTCTAAACCATCTATAAATCTTTACATATCTGATCCCTTCTCATCATTCAGGCCTCAGTTATAGTATCTTTAATGAAGCTCCTCCTGATCAGTAAATGAATAAACCCCCCTTTTGCATCCTCACTCAATCACCCTGTTAATTATTCATATAGCATTTCTTATGTCACATTCTTATGTTTTATACTTGTTTATATGTTTATCATCTGTCACCTCCCTCTAGAATTAGACTTGATAAAAACAGTGGTCTCCTATTACTTCTTAAATGCCATATCCCCAGAATATGAGACCGTGCATGGCATAGAGTAGCTGCTCAATAAAAGTTCATTGATTTGCTGAATGCTAGGTTTAATTTATGGGTCAATCTTCTTAGAACACATTTAGAATTTAAAAGCCATGTTACTATAAAACTAAATCACATTCAGTACAAATATGTAGGTAACAGATAAGAGAATTGAGATAAATAGGGTTATTATTTGGAAAATATTTTAGAGGATTTCTTTTTAATACATAGTTTTAATGATTCTATTTCTTTTATAATAATATTAACATTAAATTTTATCCCTTGGATATATAGTACCTATTAACAAGAGGAGATTGTCCAGAAGTACTTTGCTATTAGAAAGTACTGTGTCTAGTATTAAAAATGTACTATGAATACTCCATTTGGTATATAAAATATATGTATATGTATAAAGTTAGGATTGTATTTACATTCAGTACATATTTATTAAGCCATGCACAATCCTAGTCACATAGTATTTTAAAAAATAAATAAAATGCAGTAGACTGATGTCTAGTAACTCAAAGTGAATAAAGATACAAAAATTAACAATATTGTGCTTTAAAAAGGCTATAATAGTGTGAAAAAAATAATGAAAGGTCAGTTTGTTTTAAAACCTCTAGGCCATGAGATCTTACTTATCTGAATTCAGATACCTTCCAAATGCTTTAGTTCCTCTTAGGGGGAATCATTTATAGAAAGTTCCGTTTCCCTGGTATATAATACCTTTCCTACATTAAATGAAAATATTTTTCACAAAGGGAGAAGAAAAGGCGATTTTTGTTGCCAGTGTTTCAGTGGAGCAGTTAAGCTTTGGCTGTAACAAGAAGTTGCCATAAAAAAAGAAGCACAGCAAAGAAAAAAAATGGTTGTGCAATGTCATCTTATGATTTTCCGGAAGGGTCTGAAGAGGAGAAACTGGCTCTTTCTCAGCTGAAAAGAGTCTATAAAACCAAGTAACTTAGAAAGCGCTAAAAGAAACACTGGGAAATAATACAAAATATAAACAGCAATAGAAATTCTGTTGAACAGAGCATGGCCTTTGGAAAGAGAGGGAAGATTTTGCATATCTAAGAATATCTCGTCACAGTCCTTTCTGAAAGATTAAAATGATTTCAATATTTACTCACTTATTTAATGCGAAAAGGTATAGCTTGCTCTGACAAAAATGTCACATTTCCTACATAAGTGCTATTTTGCAGAGACAGAACATCAAGTTTATACTGGTTGTTCAAAGCCATTCTTAAAGGCTAAAAATAACAGCTGGGTATAAAGATTAGAAATGTTGCATGTCAGATATTCTTTACTCCCAAACATTTATTTGGGCTTATAGTCTCTTTCAAAGAATTGGAAAGCATTGTTATAAGTATGTCTCATTCAAACCTTAATGAGGAAGCAAACATTCACCTTTTGAAAATTGAATGTCTTTGTAGATGTCATTTGTCAGCTGTTCAATGGAAAGAATGAGACAAAAGTGGGTGGAGAAATATTTCTAAGTCCAGAACTTTCTGGATGAAGAGGTATTCCTATATGTATTACATCACACCTGTGAATTCAACAGAACACAATGATTTTATCAGTTCATATCAAACTTGGCACATAAAATGTTAATTTCCAAAGTATTTTGAAATCCTTATGAGGAACTGTCCTTAAGATCATAAGTAAAGGCTGTAGAAATACTAATTCATCAACACTGAACTAGTGGAAAACATTCCTGAATCTTTTAAAGAAAACAAGAGTCATTAATGAAATGTTAATTATAATTTGTCCGTATTTTGTCATAATAAGGGATTCTTATATATTACAACATAATGTGGCATACTGTGGCTATCCTTTGTGTCACTTTCTGCATATCTTTTAGAAAGAGGTTATTTTTTAAAGTACATTATTTGAAAATTTTTCATACTTGAAACAAATGCTGTTCGCCCACAAATTTCCAAAAAGAAATTGAAGACAACTTAAATTCTGCTTTATCTAATATTAGCTGTTAGACTTTGCATACTATCAGTCTGTTCCAACACTAGCAAATAGCAATGTTGAACCTCTTGTTCCATCTATATTACACTGCAAAGATCTTTCCACTATTTCACAGACATTTCTGAGTTCAATTCATTTTGCTGTATTTTGAAGTAAAAAAAAAAAAATTGGTAAAACCACTCTGCTTTAGTATGACTGGCCAGTTGTAAGATATTTTACAATTTTGAACCTAAAAAAGTGTGGTGTGCTTTCAAGTTATTTCTTAAATTGACTCAGGCTTCAGGTTTTAAGGTCACATTACTAACTTTTCCACACTTATGATCTCAACATATTTTATATTTAATCTTTTATGAAGAATAATTTGTCTTAACTTTGAGCTGTGTTTGTGCTAGGCCATAAAATCTGGCGGTGACCCAGTGGAATCAATGGGGACACTAAAGAGACTGCAGAAACTGGTTTGGACCAAGAAAGCCAGAGGGCAGATTCTGGATGAGGTGAAACCGACATTAATAAACCTCCGTAAGTAAAAGCTCAATAAGCTCTTAAAATTCCTTTGAGGGAAAACTAAAGAAGCATATATTAATGGAGCCCATTTTGATAGGGTCTTAAGATAATCGTTAAACATCGAGTATTTCTTTATTGCCAAATTATTTTGAAACAGACATCCCCATCTAGTCCTGAATTTTACCCCACATTTATGTCACACCCCATTTCTCCTTCCCTTTGAGACCAGGCTCAGCGACAGAGTGAGAGCAATGGAGGAAGCTCAGCAGTGTCTACTGTTCCAATTCCTTAGCCATAGAAAACAGTATATTTGAATTTTGATGTAAACCTAGCAAATTGGTATGTCTATGGCATGCAACTTTGATTTGTATTTATTTATTCATAATAGCATGTTTCAATTAATCAAAATCTTTTAAAAATACCCATTAAACATTTGAATTTAAAAGGATTCCATGACCTAGAGCAATGGATTCTGGGTGATATACATTTCTATTTTCTGTAATTGTTTTTTATATTACTAGAAAGTTCATCAGACTCTTTGCCACATTGTGTACATATAGGTCTCACAAATGAACTTTATAGCATTACTGATATGCCTTTTGTGTTTTGTCGTTCTTGCTTTTTAAAAACGATTTCACCATGAGACACACTGCATGCATAAATTTCTTGGCAGGTTGATATTAAAATAGACAATTTCAGAATATCAGTAGGATTTCATTCCATACCCACTGAAATTTTATTCATTTAAGTAAGGCAAATAATTTTATTTGTTTCCTTATAGTTCTTCTTTTATTATTATTATACTTTAAGTTCTGGGGTACATGTGCAGAACGTGCAGGTTTGTTACATAGGTATACATGTGCTATGGTGGTTGGCTGCATCCATCACCCTGTCATCTACATTAGGTATTTCTCCTAATGCTATCCCTCCCCTATCCCCCAACCCCTGAAAGGTCCCGGTGTGTGATCTTCCCCTCCCTGTGTCCATGTGTTCCTTGTAATTCTTTATTATACATATGACCTTAAAAATTAAAAATATTTAAGAATAGAAACATAACATAAGAGGTGGATTTTTTTTACTTGTATTTTTTCCTCAAATATCTTTCAGCATGCTATTTGTATGTGGCTTCTATTAATTCCAGTAAGACTTTAATCAATAGATATGGTTTCAAAAACATCAGAAAAATCAGATTTTTACAAAACAAAATTTTTTATAATGCAAAGTAACTTACTCTTTAAAGAAATGCTGCTGGAATAATTTTATAAAATTGAATGACATCCTGGTTTATCCAGTGTGGTTCACTTATTTTTCTTACCTAAAGGGAAGTATAATTTCTATATGCAAAGAATTATGATAATAGTTTTTAACCTATTTATTTGTCATTCAGAAGATGAAGATGACACGTTGATTTCTTGTTTGAAATTAACCAAATCCCAAGAAAAGAAAACGAGTAATGTTAGCACAAGCAGGAAGGAAGAAATGGAGATTAGGTCGGATACTCTTTCTGCAACACAGGGTACATCCAACACTTTAAATGACTGCAACTTGGAAGATAAATTAGCTTGGTATGAAGGTGAAGCTTACATATGGCATCACTGGAAGCCTTTTCCTGAAAACCCTCTCTGGACATATGTTGATTTCCAAATAGCCGAGGTTGGACCCTGGGGCCACTGCTCCTCTTGTGTTCGCCACACACGTCTCAAGTCTTCCTGCTCAGATATGGATCTCCTACATTCATGGGTAAGTTTGCAAACTACGGAAATGTGTCATCTTATCTGGGGTTTTGACTGTCAGGAAAGAAACAGATAGAAAAAACGCTAATCAGTCAAATGTATAAGTGTCAGAAAAGTTACCAGAGCAAGAGTTGTCTTTCCAAAAAGCAACCAAATGCTTGTGACTTTTGCCCATGTTAACATTTCATATATTCAATTATGTACAAATTAATGACTGTATAAGATATTTCCAGGGATTTCTTTTTGATTAAAGGAAGACTTTGTATGTTGACTGAAAGCAAGAAAATGTGCAGTGAACTGTCTACATTATTGCAATTATAATGAAATTTCACTGAAAAATAATAGCTAATTTTAATGAGCATTTTCTTTAGGCCTGCCATTCGCCTAAGCATTTTGTATGTATTATCTCACTTAAATTTCACAACAACTCTATCAGGTAAGGAATTACATTATGAAACACTACCTTAAGAAATATTATTTCTCCCCAGTTTACAATTGAGAAAATGGAGGCACAAAAAGTTAGTAACAGGTGCAAAGTCAGACAGCTAACAAGAGGTAGAGCCAAGACCTACAACCTAGGTCTTGCTTTTATCTAGAGATCCTGCTTTTATCTACTACCATGTAGTGTTTTCCATATCCTAGGGCAGACTCTAAGGCTATATGGTACATGAGAAAGAATATGCTTTCTGGAGTCAAACAAATTTTGATTCTGGTTTTGCTTTTCTTTTTTTCTTGCTTGGACAAGTTACTTAAACCTTTTCATCTTAATTTTCTTAACTAAAAAATGGAAATAGTAAAGAAATAGTAAAGAAGCTAAAGTCAAATATTATAAATTTACTAGGACTTAAGAGTGCTAAACTTTTTTTCAACTTCATTGTAAGTTGCTCAAGGCATGTATTATGACTTTATTTCTCTACAGCTTCTGGTCATTTGTGTTTTAAGTGAATAAATGGGACAATTTTGTGTATCCAGGAAACCTACTCTCTACCATTTTGCTCAAATAATCAGTTTCTCCTTAGGCAGAGGCTACATTTTATAACACATTAGAGGTCCCTGAAGAGGACCTTGGTTCTCTCTTGGAACTTTTTTTACCTTTTGAGATTTGTGCATTAAGTCTCCAACAACTAGAACTAAAGCAACTTGTGTTCGAAGTACCATGGTAAATATAACAGGTGTCTAATAACAGACTTGGAAGTGATGAAACTGACCAACGTTAATCATTTCTAAATGTCTCTCCTGCTTCTTTAGTCTCTGTCTTCTCTTCTGCGACTGTTGCACTTTGCAGGTTTTCTCTTTAAGCAGTGTCTTGGAGAGTAGCTGGTAATGTAATTAGGATGTGCTTCTGACGACTCCCTCTGACAGGTTCAGAAGCAGGATCAAGGCTGATGACTCCTTGGCAAGTGACTAAGCTGTTGTATAAGTATCAGAACACAAATAGTCCAAGCTTTCTTCAAGAATAAAATCTGGACTCCCTAACTTGGCATTTCTGGATTTCATCAGTCTGACTTCAATCTAATTTTTCAGTCTTAACTGTATACTATGCCTTCCTTATTGATTTCCTACGGTGTACTGCCAAACAGAATGATTTGCTTTTCCTAAAGGCTGTCTTGCACTTTCCTGGCTCTCTTTGTGTTTGTGTGATGGCCTCTTCTTGGTATGTGAATTCTCTCCGTTAGAACCCATCCCTTCATCCCTTAGACTCATTTCAAATAATTCATTGTCTAGAATGATTTTCTGGCTAACACCAGACAGAGTAGTCCCTCCTTCCTTTGAACGTCTACACTAAACGAAGGCATTATTCTTTCATTACATATTTCTGAAACACATACTGGCACCACTATTTGCTATTCATGATATCACGCACTGGGGATACAGAACTAAATGATATCTACGTTTCCCTCATCCTCATGGAACTTACCATACGCTACCTGTGCTGGCAGTTCAGTATTTGTATACTTCCTATGAATAACTTATCTTTGTATCCTCCATAGTTCCTATAATGTAATGGGTCCTCGAGAAATATCTGAACAATTGGCCAGGCATGGTGGCTCACACCATTAATCCCAGTACTTTGGGAGGCCAAATTGGGGGATCATTTGATCCCAGGAGTTCAAGACCAGAACAGCCTAGGCGACAAAGTGAGACGAACCTGTCTCAAAAAAGGAAAAAAAAAAAGAGGAAGAAGGAAGTATTTTCTAACATGAAGTGCAGAACAGAAATAATTAAATAAGCAAATAAATATCTGAGTAACACTTGCACTTGTTGCCTAAATAAATGGAGCTTAGAAACCAATGGACTTTGTTTCCATAGATTCAGATAAAGTATTTCTTCTTGTTTTTCTAGTTGTTCTTACAGCCAAAGCTTTCCTCATTATAATAAATCCAGTTACACATAAATTCAGTTATTTTGTATATGTGAGAGTTTATGGATGTGTGTAGATTTGGGCAAATACACAATAGTCATATTTTTCTTTTTTATTTAGGTAGTTTTGTCTATTTTAATATATAACTTAATGATTGAGTGAGTTTTATCTGCAGAAGGTCAAACATATCTACAGAATGCTCAGAATTTCAGATGATACTGTTCAGCATTCATGACAGAAAAGCCTCAGTGGATTTGGAGAGATGGTTCAAGAGCATGTTAGAGTTAAATTAGTTTGGTAAACTTAATGAGACCACTTACACTCCGGGACTTGAGACACTAAAGTGAAGGAAGTCGGATGAGTGCAAATTACGATTTTTGTATTCTACACATATATTCTATAACAACAACAAGTGAAAAATATCCAGTTTCATTTTAGCATCGCTGGATTTTTTTCAATAGTAATTGCAGGGCTATTATTTGGGTTATTTAACTTTCATATTATAGAACGTACAGAGTCAGTGTTGGGGTTTAAAAGATGTGCTTCTGTAATGAGAGTTACTTACTATAAATGGCAGGTAGTCAGAGGCGACATTTTTTGCAATTTAAAAGGGTAAGGGTGTGGTCATATTTTTAAAAATGTATGTGCCAACATATGCAGATATGATGGAGCTGGGCCTAAACCCCACATTTCATGAGAAATGAAACCAATCTACAAGGACACTAGTTTCTCCTTGACTTCAGAAATGTTAGAAATAGTAGATTCTGGTGTGTGCGTTTTCTTTTTTTTTCCTTTCGAGATGGAGTCTCACCCTGTTGCCCAGGCAAGAGTGCAATGGAGTGATGTCGACTCACTGAAACCTCTGCCTCCCGGGTTCAAATGATTCTCCTGCCTTAGCCTCCCTAGTAGCTGGGATTATAGGCACTCACCACCATGCCCAGCTAATTTTTGTATTTTTATTAGAGATGAGGTTTCACCATATTGGCCAGGCTGATCTTGAACTCCAGACCTCATAATCCACGTGGTGTCTTTGACTCCATTATTACATCAAAGTTTTTAGGTGGTCTGAAATTAACTTATTTTTGAAAAAGTCCTTGTTTGCCCTGGTATGCTTCCTGCTAAGCCTACTGTAGGCTCCCACTCTCAAGGCCAGTCCTGACTGATTGAATGCAGTTCTTACATTGCCAGCAGAGTGAGCTTGAATAATCTTCTTACCTCTTTCAGCCACCAATTACAGTTCTGTACAGTGGTCTCAGTCCCCATTCTTTTTCCTCTGAGTGACTTTGCATACCAAAAACACCCATTGATTAAGCAAGGTTATTGGTATCTATTAGAAATGTTTAATGAAATAGTGTTGGGACTCATCTATAGTAAGTAATATTTATTTCAAAAATCAAAACATCCAGCAGTCTGTGTTAGGATTGGAATGTTTTATTCAGTTGAGGTGCTATAAACAAACTGAATCAGACAGGGAAATGTATTATTTGTCAAGGGCTCTTCACAGAAGTCAACAGGAAAACGAGACACACAGAGATGTTTAACATGAAGTTAAGTCATTTGTAATGTCTGTGGGATCTGGGAGTAAAGAAATATATGTGATTATGGAATTGATATAAACTGAGAAAGGTAAAAGATCAGATTTATGAAAGGGTATTCTCCAAAGAAAATGGAAATGGAAAACTAAGGATGAGGGTCTTTTGTAATATCTGAGATGAGTGGTGTTGACAGGGGATTTCAGATGCATCTTAAGAAAGGGAATGGTGGAGGTAGCCAAAAATAATCTTTGAAGCCATGTGTTTTGAATCAATTTATAAGAAGAATAACGGAAGAGTACTTATGAAGCTCTGCACACTAAGAGCATGGAACATCTTAACAAAAGGAGGAAAATGAGCCATAGGCTTTGTAGGGAATGAGGGTAAGAAAGGATAGAGTCTGTGGGCTCTGAAGGAGAGAAAAATCTTCCTTTCATATATTTTTAAATAACACATATACTTTTTAAAACCTGGGACACTGTTTCAGATTTATAAGGATAAACACATTTTTCTGAAAAAAATTTTAATTTATTATTATTTTTTTGAGACGGAGTTTCACTCTTGTTGCCCAGGCTGGAGTACAGTGGCGAGATCTTGACTCACTGCAACCTCTGCTGCCCAGGTTCAAGCTATTCTCCTAAATTATTTTTATAATATCAAGAAAATGATGCAATCTAGACATAAGCAAGAAGAAATATCCATCCCTTTCCTCAAATTTCTAAAATATTTTGAAGCCCATTTAATAAAAACAGTGTGAAAATTTTTAAAAGTGACTAACCAAAGATCTTTCAAGAAGAGGCTAAGTCAAAGCCCCAAAAGGACAGAAAAGGGACCTGCCTACAGCAGAATTCAAACATCATATAGAGAGAAAATTATAATAGTGAGAGACAGAATCATGTAACAAAAATCAAAGAAAAATGAGTCAGGTTGATATACAGCATCTGAAAGTGAGAAATAAGGCTGTACTTGGAGACATACAAGGTGAATATGAGGGCTTTTTGGAATCTTACATGAATTCATCACAATGGTGACAAACCATGTGGGCCATGGGAAAATTCTTCACATCACCGTTTCAGTTTAAGGAACAAGAGGTCTGCTAATGCTAACCAATAA